ATAGTAATGTCGAGTGGCACAATTTGGTCCTGGACCAAGTTATGCAGCTGTTCAACGGGAAAACAGCAAAAGGCTTCAGTCCAAAGCAGGCAAATAAGGCACGATTGTCTATAAACAGTCACTAGGGCCCTCACATTTAGAACAAAGAAAACAACATTAGCATACAGAACGGCAGGTTGGGAACATGAGAATCAGCACAAGTTGAGTGAGCCACGCTATCATCTGTGATTTAAACAAAAGAGAGTAACCATGAATAACTCACCCTTGAGGAAATCATAAATTGGTCAAACATTTTGAAAGGAATCATAAACATTTGGTCATGGATTAAAAATATTATTTAAGTCAGCTATGAGATGTAAAGCATCACATATCCATTATCTATTTCTGATTCCCACCTGCTCATTAAAGGTGGATCAAGTAAGTGGAAAGATAATAGAAACCAAGTGTTTTGGTAGCCAATCAGAAGCTGAACTACAATGTTGCTTCTCAGTGTTTCCATGATAACAAAATGGGGAGTCAGGTGTAATAGTTCCAAGGTAATGGAGTGGAAATTTGGCAGTAAAATAGGAAACTGGAACCTGGCCTTTAGGTATTGTGATATCACATCTTTCATTTTTACTCCCACACTTTTTAGGCTTTTTTGACCCTATCTTGAAATATGCACAGCCTTTATATTATTATTTATTTTATAACTTCTGTTTGATATAAATTTATTTCCTTATTTCTCTTCAATTTTTTTATTCACTTTAAAAAATGGGTGATCCTCCCATTATCTTTGTTTCACCACCACCTACTATTTCCCTGATTAATCCACTTCAATTTGCCTTCTGTTTTCTCTGTTCTAGTGAGACTATTTTCTTTATGATCACTAAGATTTCCTTCTGGGAAAATCCAATAGTTTCTTTTCAATCTCCCCTTGTCTTTTTGTCCTATCTGCCTCATCTGGCACTGTTGGAGATACAATATAAACTAAAGAGAGGGTAGAAATTAGACTGTCTTTAAAGGAATAAATGCCTACATTTATTGGAAGTGATAGTTACTTTGAAACTCAGAAGAGTGAATTTTAAGAATATTAGGAAGGACATAAGTAAACCAATTTTCTAAAGGCAGCAAGGAATGTTGGCAATACCTTTAATATCAATGGCCTGACAGATTACAAGGGAAGCAAAGGGTAAAAATGAAGTTGGGAATGAGAATACTATATAAGAAAATAACTTTATACACATTTACTTCTGTAACACAGCATATAGAAGACAACATTGGGACCTATGAGGATAAAGACAAAACAAAATGACAATTTCAGCCCTTGTGGAGTGGAGCTTATGAGTTAATTGCCAGGTGATACTATACTAATTAGAGTTGGTTTTTATTTTTTATATATGGCTGTAAGCTCATACTAGAAACAGTCAGGTTGGTAGGAATTTGGCAAGTTTTGAAAAAAGGGGATAAATACAGAAGAAAGTCTGATAAAAGAGGATGGCAAGAGTAAATGTGTCTTGAGACTGGCTACTTCTTCACCTTCAAGCTTCTGTGGGTTGAACTGCAGTGCTGAACATTATTGTACATCCTCGTTTTTCAAAAGTTACTTTGGATAACATAACTGACAATTTAGACTCAGCAATGGAAGTAGCAGAAAATAGCTGAAAGAATATGAACTTTGGACAATGATTGAACTATGTTTAAATCCTAACTCATCCATTTTAAATTTGGATGAATCAGGAAAATTTGGTTTACATTTGGTGAGATCTGGTTTTCTCCTATGTAAAATAAGGAGAGTTTCTTATTTATTTCACCTATTTGCAAAGTAATATTAATCAGGATCTTTCTGAGAAAGAAAACATTTTCTATTTTCTAAACTTCTGGAGTCTTTGTATTCTTTACGTGAATACATAAATGAAAGATGATTATACTTTTCATTCATTTGCAGTGCAGAAGAGGGTTACACAGACAACCTTATTTCCAGGTTGCTGAAAGAGACCCTCAATATGCGCATCCATCCAACCACAGCTCAGCTAATGGAAATGAACTACTTAACATATCTAATTACATCGACCTCACAATCTCATTATTCACATGAAATGCTGTTTCTACTGTGCAGATTGAATATTGAGTCAAAGAGTAGATCATTGACAGGTAATTGGATGCTGTTTGAACAGGGATATATTTATTTCCAAGCGTTCTGAATACTATATTTCCCATCCTTTCCTCATTTAATTGCATAAATTGTATATTTTCTCCAAGTGTACATACATGTACTTGGGGGCAGAACTATAGAGAGAAGTTAAAATCATAAATCCTTTGCTGTACCCGGATCTTGATCATGTTCCTTCATATCTCAATATGCTGACCTCTGAGGTTGTAAGGGAGAATGGAAACAAACAAACAAAACAGAAGCATAAAAGAAAAGAGGGAAGGGGAACAGACAGAGTCAGAAAATAATACATGGAAGGAACAGGAGTGAAGATGGGAGGGAGAGTGGGGAAGTTTCTGGTGTTAGGTACAAAAGTTCAGCAGTAAATAGATTAGGATTTAAATATGTGTAAAGTTGACTAGGGTCTACTATACTTTCCCTATTTAAAGTACTCAACTTGTAGCCAAAAGCTTTTGTTGAAACTTTAATACTAGAATGCACTGCCACATTTGATAGCATACTGTAGAAGAAAAATGTTTTATATAAGCAATTTAATCTTATCAGAAGTTAAGAACTACTAAAGTGAATTGTGCAGTGTATATCTAGTAAAGCTACTAAGAAAAATGTGTGTGTTTTTTAAAGATATAAAACACTTTAAATGTTTCTTATAATATAAAATAAATTGATATACTAATTCAAAATATGTTCTTTAAATCTGCATGTTTACATGTCTAGGAAATAATTACTGAATGAAAGCATTTTTAAAATACCAAAACTGTAATAAAGTCAGAATGGCTATCATCAACAAATCAACAAACAACATATGTTGGTGAGGATGTGGAGAAAAGGGAACCCTAGTACACTGCTGGTGGGAATGCAGACTGGTGTAGCCACTGTGGAAAACAGTATGGACTTTCCTCAAAATATTAAAAATAGAACTACCATTTGACCCTGTGATACCACTTCTAGGTATATATCCTAAGAAACCTGAAACACCCCTACGTTCATAGCACCACAATTTATGATAGCTAAGATTTAGAAACAGCCCAAATACCTATCAGCAGATGAGTGGATAAAAAAGCTGTGGTACATTTACACAATGGAATATTATATAGTGGTAAAAAAGAAGGAACTCTTACCACTTGCAATAGCATGAATGGACCTAGAGAGCATTATGCTAAGTGAAATAAGCCAGATAAGTATCACATGATCTCACTCATATGTGGAATCTAATCATAAAATAGACCCAGAGACATAGAACCATGGAAAAGACAGATGAATATCAGAGGGAAGGTGGGGGTGGGTAGTGGGTGGAAATCAGGAAACTTCTATGCATACTAGAGGCCCTGTGCACGAAAATGCATGCCCCGGGAGGGGGGGGGGGTCACTCAGCCTGGCCTGTGCCCTCTTGCAGTCCAGGAGCCCTTGGGGGATGTCCACTGCTCCCCAAGGGATTGGGCTTAAGCTGGCAGTCAGACATCCCTCTGGCAGCCCAAGAGCCCATTAGTTGAACATCCTTAGCGCTGCACTGGCCAGCCATGAGCTGGCTTCTGGCTGAGTGGTTCCCCCCCTTGTGGAAGTACATTGACCACTAGGGGGCAACTCTGGCATTGAGCATCTTCCCCCTGTTGGTCAGTGCACGTCATAGAGACCGGTCATTCCAGGTATTTTTGCCATTAGGGTCAATTTGCATATTACCCTTTTATTATATAGGCTATGCATATTTCATGGACACAGACAATATTGTGGTGAAGGTCTTGAAGGGGCAGGTGCCTGGTTGAGGGGGTCAATAGAAAAAAAAAGGAAGGGGACATCTGTAATACTATCAATAAATATTGAAGTAAGAAAGTATGAATATGCTTAATGTGTTAAAAAGTACAATATCATACAATTGAGGATGTTCACATTCCAAACTTCTGCCTTAAAACTCTTTTAGAAAAATTTCTCATGGATACTATGTAATTTATACTTAAATAACAAATAGTCTTAGAAAAACAATCATAATTACTTTACTTTGCACAAAAGGTTTCCCATATAGTTATATACAGAAAATAATTAAATCTCTCTTCTTAATATTTAAACCAAAATATAACTCAATTGAAAGTTTTAAAAAATCAAATAAATTACTTATCTCTTCACCTAGAGTATTGCTATATTAAAATGATCAAATGGCTTTCAAATAATCTTTGAATAATCCTGATTTGGATAATCTATACTGATTTGATTTTTGTAGAAATAGTAGACTTTCAGAGTTTTCTGTTTAAAAACATGAATGTTAAACACTATAATTTTAGAGTTGAAGGGATGTTAGGACTCATATTCTAATAATGAAATAGTTTACAATTGAAAATGTTGAGTTTATGACCCCTTTCATTCACCTTCCCTCCAAGTATTATCACATTCACAAATGATGTGTTATGGAACTGCTACATAAGAAATGTAGAGTTGATTTATCTTATTAAGGAAATGCTTCCCCATCTAACTTTAAAACTTGGGCATATTTTGACGATGCTTCAATATTTTCAAAATTTTTCATGGAAGAACTAAGCTCAGCAATGTGCAACTGTTATCAATCTGATGATATGAACACTGACTGATTAAGCCTACACTTCTTTCAGGTTGAAATATCTTCCTGGGGGGAAAAATCACAGCTGGAAACCTTCCCAGAAACTTCACTAGATGACAAAGAAACAGACCAATCTTCCACAGACACTTAATGAACACGTGGTTGTGGGGAGGGTGTTCTGGTCTAGAGATCACTTTGCCCACCAAGAAAAGACAAAAGCAGTGGATTTCTGTAGTTAAAGTCTGCAATCAAAGCAGAATAGAAGCAAAAGTGAAAAGCGCCATTGCTCATTAAATCACTTACAGTGGTTTTCCTTTGGATTCACAAGTCAAAATTAAAGGCTGTCCTTCTTGTGGAAAAGGAGTGGATGGTATAATCTTAACTGATGGTGTATCTAGAAAAAAATGAAAAGGTCATTAAGCATGTAAACTGTACATTTAGAAATTGTATATCATGCTTCATGTTCATGCACTTTCTTATAATGGTGCCTTTTTAAAAGGGATTTCTTAGATTTGGTGAAACAGAGTAAGTCATTTTAAGAAGCTACTATCCTGTCCATGAAAAGCTAACAAAAATATCTGAATATCTCATGAACACCACTGCTGTAATATTTCTGAAATCTGAATTTAAAAGAGAAATTGTAAAAACTGGTTCAGATGAATATCAAGCATTTCATCCAATTGTTTCTTCAACTATTTATAGATGGGTAGGAATACCATTATTATGGACTGAACACATTTATTTGCATTTGAATAACAACCCATTCATTGTTGCAGGAATACCAGAAACTTATAATAAGGAAGTCAATAAGAACTCAAGATCAACTTCTGTCTCACAGCATTGTGCAGAATATTTTTGAAAATGCAGTAATCTGGTACTCAGCACATGTCGCTTGCTCTAAAGTACAGTTAGCAAGTCATTTGACATAGTTACTAAGATTAATACTAAAAGTTAACTTTTTATTGTGTATGTTAAAATATAATTGTTATAAAATTATTTATTTCCATTAGGCAATAAAGTCATCCCTAGTGAAAAAAGATTCATGAATACTTTAAGACATTTATAGTTATAACTTTATGTCCTGTAATACTTTTTAATAAACACAAAGATGGAAGACATGGAAAAAATGGAAAATAAGCTAAAGGAAGGAGACAATGTAAACACTTTCATTTCTTTCTGAGAGGCTGCTAAGTCCTCGCATTGTGTGTCCCACAGTCAACATGGAATTGCCTCCTCCTCTTGTCTCTACAATAAACAATATAGGCTCTGAGCATTCCTGATAGTCAAAAATTATTCTCATCATTACCTTAGTTGTAATGGAAGAACAGAACTACCTTGGAGCTATATACATTCTATGACTTTGAAGTTAATTAAATAAGTATCAATCAAGTGTGTAAACTTTAGATTAAAATCTTATTTCAGATTTGTCACATATAGAAAAATAAAGCATGATCCTTTAAAAGACCTTACACTTATAAATTATTTGTACTTTTTAAACTTATTCTTTCTCAGTCATTTAAACAAGAAAATACATTTAAGGTAATCAATGATAATATCCAAGTTACAAACAGGCATTCCATATACATCATGGTAAGTAATTGCAGTGTAAAATTACCCAGGAAGAAAAATAATTTGAAGACTATGACACACACTTACTATGTTTTTAACTAGAGGCCCTGTGCATGAAAATGCATCCACTGGGAGGGGTTCCCTCAGCCCAGTCTGTGCACTCTTGCAGTCTTGGAGCCCTTGGGGGATGTCCGACTGATGGCTTAGGCCGGCTCCTCGTGGGGAGCCGGCCTAAGCTGTCAGTCAGACATCAGCACTGCCACAGAGGCAGGAGAGGCTCCTGCCATGGCCTCTGCGCTCCCCAGCAGTGAGCCTGGCCCAGGGCTTCTGGCTAAGCTGCGCTCCCCCTGTGTGAGCACACTTACCACCATGGGGCAGCTCCTGCATTGAGTGTCCACCCCCTGGTGGTCAGTGTGCATCATAGTGACAGGTTGTCCAGCAGTTTGGTCAATTTGCATATTAGCCTTTTATTAAATAGGATTAGTAGAATAAAATAATAAAACATTAAATATAATTTACTAATTTTTCAATTATCATCATAGTTAGTGACTAGAATGATCATATACTATTATTCAAAGTAGAACATTTTTAAAAGGGAAGGGACCATATTAACAACTAAGCAAGGTAAGAGCGGTGAGCTAGAATAATTCTGGGAAAACTGAGGTGTATGGTCTTTTGAAATTTGACTATGTATACATATAGCAAAATTTTATTTCCTTTTGACAATGTAAAATTAAAAAGCTTTATTTCTAGAAATAAAGGTGGCAGAAGAAAGATTAGAAAAATTATTTTGGAAAATAAATTTGTGTTAATTGGGGTGACTATGATGGTTAACTTTATGTGTCAACTTGACTTCATCATGGGGTGCCCAGATATTTGTCCACACATTTTTATAAGTATTTCTGTAAGAGTGCTTTTGGAAGAGATTAATATTTATTTTTTTATTTTTAATTCAGTTTACTTTCCATATTATTTCGTATTGGTTTAAAGTGTATGCCATAGTGGTTAGATAATCATATCCTTTACAAAGTGTTCCCCCAATATTGCCAGTGCCTACCTACCATCATGCATTTTTATCACAATATAATTAACTATATTCCCAATGCTGTATCTTACATTCTTGTGACTATTTTCTAACAACCAATTTGTACTTCTTAATCTGGAGGAGATTAATATTCAAATTGCAGACTTAATAAAGCTGATTGCAGCTGGGTCTTATCTAATCAGTTTAATGTTTGAATAGAATAAAAAAAAAAAGCTGACTCTCCCCCAAGTAGGAAATAATTCCTCCTGTCTGATGGCTGTATGTTAAAGCACTGGCTTTTTGGGGGCCTTTAGACTTGACCTGAAACGTCTTGGGTCTTGAGCCCGCTGGCTTTCAGACTGAAATGACATCAATTCTGGTTCTCAGGTTTTTGAACTCAGAATGAAACTAAATAATTTGTTCTTTTGGTCTCTTGCTTGCTGACTCGGCCTGAAGATCTGGAGACTTGCCAGCCCACATAATTATGTGAGCCAATTCCGTGTGTGTGTGTGTGTGTGTGTGTGTGTGTGTGTGTGTGTGTGTGTGTGTTTATCTGGTTAGTTCTGTTTCTCTGGGGAACCCTAGCTAAAAGAGAAAGAAGGACATAAAAAAAGTGTGTTATTGAGCAGATTACACCAGGGGCAACTGGGGTTCAGTCCTGCTGTGGAACTCTGAGAAACAATGTAGGGCATGCATCACACTTTTTTTTCCTAGATGAGCAGGGCATGATAGTATTTAGGGAATATTTACCAATTCTCATTAGTACCTGGTGGAGGATTGTCCTGGAGGGAGGAGGAAGTGTTATCTCCCTGGTATTCCTGGTGGACTTGGTGCAAAGAAATGGTGTGTGTCAAAGGGATATGGGAAAGTGTCTGTTTCAGTAGAGTAAAATATATAGTGGCAGGTAGCTATTAGAATAGAGGAAAACAGAACATGGTCTGATTTCTCTTAGCTCTGTCCTTTTTAATTTAAATAGTTATTATCAGAGATGAGAACATGTATAACAAATAGTACCCTGAAGTATGGTTCAGCATTCCCTTTAGATTCAAAATACAAAATTCAGTAAATAAGTAAATGCCAAAGCAGATAATATGCTTAACATGTAGTTCTATGAAATGTTTATGAATACCACCAAATAACCCCTAAGTTACCAAACTCAAGGGATATAATACAGTACTCTTTTATTTCACATCAGAATCTTGGCATGAAATAAAATGTTGATTAGACTCAAATGTTGATTAGACTCTATTACTAAAAATTATCTTTAGATTTCTCTAGTAATGTTCCTCCACCCTACCCATCCCCAACATTTCTGATTCAACTCTAACATTTCTACTTATTCTTTCTCAGATCTGTTCAGTTGTCTTCTTATATTTACCTTTAGATATTGAGATCACTGAGAATGGTATTAACAATCTATTGTCACATAATTCTCCCTCGGCCCTTTCAGCTGCACCCAACTTATTAGTTTCTATCTATTCACCAATCACTCCCAAGTTTATGTCCCAGAGCAGTTCTGTACTACATGCTACATTATGTGTATGGAGCACCTATATGGCATGTCCACTTGAATGTCTGAAAGACACAGCACATTTGATATGTCCAAAATGAATTCAAAGCCTGTAACCCTCCCCATATAGTCCTGTTCCAGGAATCTCTATTCCAAAGACTCAGTTATATACACCAGATACCTCTTGTTTCCTTATCTTTTCTAAACCAATGAACTAATCACATCTGGTTGATATACCTCCTAAATAATTTTCAAATCTCATTTCTTTTTTGATTGCTTCACAACCACTTCTTTCATCTACTTTACCAAACTAGTGAATGATCTCCCTTGTACCAATTTTTCACCCCTCATATTTCTAGAACTAAATAAACTCATCTCCTCAAAACATGACTCTGATAACATAAATTTTCTGGTTAAAATCTTGTGTGGTTAATCTTTGCTTTTAGGATTCCAAGCAAAATAATTAGTATAGCCTTGCTAAGGACAACTATTCATTACCCCCAAATTGGGTCAGATACCTCTGCTACATGTTAGCTTTTTCATCTTGTGTAATTTTCAAAGTCGCTGCTGTATCCTCAGTGTCTGCAGCGTGCTTTACACAAAATCTGTGCTTAGTAAATAAATTCTTAAATAAATGAACACACAAGTTTGCATACATCTTATCAGTATGGTACATTAATTCTGAAATATTAGAAAAATTAATTGAAATTTATTGGCATCTGATGTATGTAAAATTACTCTTAAGTATTCCTAACACAAACTTTAGGTTGACTTTTACTCTAATCTCATATTTAATTTAATTAAATGGCTATTACTGACTCTCTTCCTAGTACAATTTTTTTGCATTAGATAACATTAGTTAACAACTTTCCATGATTATTAAATGAATTGTTTTAATTCAAATACTGCATACTAATTTTTTCTCCTCATCTTTTATAGGGAAAGAACTCAATTTTAACATGGCTGCTTTATCTACCACATTTTGAGCATTCAAGATTCAAGATCTTAACATATTCAGTTGTGTGTCTCCAGATCTGAACAAAATGTCTGATAGGTTGTATAAAATAGGTATATATTCATTTATTAAAAAATCATATTTTAGTACTTAGTAGTAAGCAAACAAAATATTCGTATTTTAAAAGCATAGCCGAAACCAGTTTGGCTCAGTGGATAGAGCGTCAGACTGCAGACTGAAAGGTCCCAGGTTTGATTCCGGTCAAGGGCATGTACCTGGGTTGCAGGCACATCCCCAGTAGGAGATGTGCAGGAGGCAGCTGATCGATGTTTCTCT